AACTAAGAGAAAATGCAATGAGGTAAAAAATTGTGAGACTAAGGTACAACCGACCAATAAAACTTTTATTTCATTTCTTTGGGCAAAATTTCCTTTTTAGAGTGCATTTGCTTTACACAATATTCAAAGAAAAATACAAGTGTGAGGAAAATAAAGAAAACCAGGCGTTCGAAGATCCCCCCATCGCCCTCGGCACTTTCCTCCTCGGCTTCCTCCTCATGCTTTCTCCTCATCCTTCATCGGAGAACCCTCCGCCTTCTCATCCTCCTCCAAGTCTAAGAGAATCGTTGCAAACTACTCGAGCACTTTGGGTCAACAAGTTCATGCTTCACAAACCACTCGATGGCTTGGGAGGTGCCAACTTGTAGATACCGAGCGAGCCTGTCAATATGCTCCTTCTCAGTCACCATCAACACCATCTTGTTCTTCGGTTTCTGATTCTCCTTTTGGAGGAACGACAACCTCTCCTCATGATCGTGCATCTCTGATTCCCTCTCAGCCAAGGACATCTTCAATCGTCTCTCGCCCATTGTCACCCGCTTTTCTGATTTTATATCCAGTGTGCTCGCAACATCCGCTTATTCAATAGTTGCAGCACACTTCATCCCTGCTTAAACAAGGCCATTGACACAACGTTAGTAGCCTCTCAAGCCATGAAATGGTAGCGGTCAAATAGTTGGCACAAATTTGGGTGGTTGAGGGCCTTCAATTACTTCTCAAAGCTGTGGGACCGAATCACCTATGTGAGGGTTGAAGGATAATCAGATGTCAACAGAGTGGCAAGGTAGCAATCCTTCCTCTTATTAATCATCACAAAGTCCCCCCTCCCCTAACTCAAAACAAGACCAAACCTTCGCTCCTTCCTCCTGCACGGGAACCCACCTGGGCGGAGAGCCCTTCCTTTTCTTATGAAGAGGGAGAGGGCGTGGGGACTTCTGGTCAGTAGCGGGAGCCTTTCCCTCTCAGTGAGGGACTTCTTTCTCTTGGTATGCCACCCCAGGTTCGAGACTAACCTCTGATCCGGTCTCACTCAGAGTAATGGGTGGCGTCCGGTCGGCCTCATCCCTTATCATCAGGTCTATGAAAGGGCCATCGATCGGCCTAGGGGTGGTTGACCCCACCTCTGCTTTTTTTGTCAAAGCCTTCTCTTCAAAGCCACCCGACGCCGGTACACTCAATGTCCTGAGAGACTCCTCATGACTGGTGCTAAAGTAACAACACCTGGCATATAAGAGTTAGTTTTCTTTTAGATGATGGTCAAATTGTGAGTGGAAACTTTTTAAAGGATTAGAGTGGTTCAAAAAGTAAAAAAGATAAACTCCACACCCTTAGGTATTGACTCCTACGAAAACAATCACAGACATCGGTCGACCGACAACAACTTCAACCTTTGGGCAAGTAGCCACCTTTACAGTCTAAGAGAGGACAAACTTCCCTCAGGGCTTCTACTTAGCAGTGCGGGCAGTAACAACTTTCTCTCTTGGCAACCTCTTTGGCATTAGAGGCCGCATAGAGTTCCTTTGTCAATGGTCCACACTTCTCCAACCAAAGCACATGATTGAGTACCTCTGTCTCAAGGTACAGGAAAGTTAGCAAGCATTAGCCCTTGATCAACACCTTGTGAGCTCAAAGGTGTTCGAGCAGGGTTTTCACCTTAGGTGTGGTGCCTTCCGACGGAAGGACGTGGATCTCCCAACTGTCAACGCAGAAGCTGGCCATGAACCATTTCTAGACTTTTATTTTGTTTTCCAAACCTAGCAGTTAGAACCTGTAGCTGGCGAAGAAATTTTTATACCCGTCCCGACCGATCTTGAAGGTGAACATGTGGTTGACTAGGTCTGTCGACCAAGGGATCTTCATTCGCCAGTAGAAGATTGCTTATGTCATTGTTGTCGCTATAAAGTTCGACAACACTTGAGCAAAATTGATATCGTATCGGTTGAAAATCAACTGAAGCACTTTCCAAAGTAGCAATCGAAGGTTATACTTGAACTGATCTTTGTAGAACACAAAATCTGACCCAAAGTTGTTTATCACCCAGTCATGACATTCCACATCTCCAAGTTGAATGGTCAGATCAGAAACGCAGGAATCTTGGACAAGCTCCGTCTGATCCACGGTCATATTGGACACCTCGCTCACCGAAATCGAATCAGATAACTCTTAGGAGAATTTGGGAGTCGTTGAAAGAAAATGCAAAAGAAAAGAATGCTTGGAAGAACCAAAAGAAGGGAATAGAATAGTCTAGCAAGAAAAAAAACCCTTAGCCCTATTTATAGATTGGGGATGGAAGTTGAACCACCACAGGGACAAAAAGATCATTTGCTGACCAAAATCGTATTGTAAAGGAAGTCAAGTCGGCACACATTTCAAGGCAAAAAAAATTATTTCATAAAATAAAAACTAAAAAGTATTGTTTGGAAGATTACTCCGAGAGGAAAGTTGAAGCAGCTTTTTATATAAGACCACGTCACCTAAACAAAAAAGGTCCACCCGACCGACCACTGCGTGGGCCCAGTACATTGAAGAAACCTCTCGAATAGCTATCAGCTCCGCTCGAAGAGTAGTTGTCTCCCCAAGAAGGGTGGTTGTATGTCCACGCAGGACAACTAGTTCCCCCTGCATCCGGTCGACCTTATCAACACAGGTCAGCAACCCACGCATCTACTCAGATAGGGGAAGCCCTACCGCCCGGGCGAAGGAAGCCTCCATCTCTCAAAGGAGGTGCTTCAGTGACTCGAGTGAAATATGGCGTTCTACAGTTGCCTCCCCTTGAGCCTCATTGGCGCTGCTTAGACAATTTGCCCCTTCGTCGTCGCGAAGGAGTTGGTTGCAACCGGTCCTTGATTCACAGTAGTCTGTTCTCCGGCCTAATCCATGCCAAGTCCATCGAAAGAGAATCGATAGTCAGGATCTCAGTGATGGAACGGGCTGCACCGAAAGACATTATAAAGAAGAATTTCATAAAAGTTAAAAAATAAGTAAAATTGAAATTCCCCGTATCAAGGATTCGACGCCACTAGGACGCAGTAAACGAGACCACACCCTCACTATCTTTTTCCTACGTCGCGGTTGAAAGTGGAGCATCGGCCGGCCAGGGAGCCCTAGGTGGGGCAATAGTATCAGTTTCCCTTCTCGGTCTGATCAACGGGCAGGGCCTGAGTTTCGAGGGGAAGCAGATTAGATGTCGCAGCAGAAGGAACAGATGGCTCGGCAGCAAGAATAGACAGCTTGGAAAGACGGTCGACTAATCGTCCCCCAACCTCCACTGAAGCCTCTTCCTATTGGCGGTTGCGGAGCAAATATGATGATCCCACCTGATCCTCTTAATCAGGCGCCTTCCACTTCTTCCTCTTCTCTCCTTTTGGTTTCATTTTCCCAACTTTTGACCAAGACTTCGTCTTCCTCTCACTAAAAACCTGCAGGTAGGCTAACCTATCAAAAGCCTTGGATCCTGCCGCCTTGGACCCCATCGCCGCGCCATCCATCATGGCAACACTTGAAGTCCAAACGATGCAAAAGCAAGGGAGAAATGGAAAGGAAAGGAGAAGCCTCGACCCTTCACGTCATATTTATAGAAACACGTGGCACGAAAATCTAGAAAGTTCAATTATAGAATAATTGAATTATCATAAATAAGATTCTTTTACATTAAATTATTTTATTCTTATTGCATCGCGACTTCCAAGAAGTAAGAGAATCGGGAAACTAAATATGTACACAAAAAATACTAACATGAATCTCGAGGAAATCTACCGCCCATCAACAGGAGACTTAGAGGCTCATGTATCTGATTGGAAGCATCAAGATTAAAACTAATCAAGGTAGCCAAATAGTCTGAACCTGAGTAGTTTGAGCAGTCGCCAAATACAGGGGAATCTAGGACATCCCAGCAGTGGAATCAATCCAAGGGGCAAAGTTAATCCCTCGAGTTTTACAATTCCCTCGAAGGTAATCATCAACCTCCCCAAATATCATTGAGTCAATCAGAGGAACGACGGCCACACTGCCAAGTTTTCTTCATCCAAGGGCGGCTACTTATTGGATTATGGTGATTCACCGTTTGCCCGATAGTTTAATTTGCCTAATCGATAGAAGTTCTTTGTCAGGGATGAAGGGTCAACAGTAATACTTTATCAACCGATCAATACCACTTAACCAACTGAACCAACTGAACCAACCTAGCTAGCCATTTGCCAGTAAGAGTCCAACCAATCAGCAACATCAAGCATAGTCGACCGGTAGTCTTATCAGACAAGTCGACCGATGAGTTTCTGTAGCTTAGCCGACCGACAACGTCTTTCAAATGATTCGTAAGTCTAGCCAGTCAACCATAGAGTTGTCAGGCCCTGGGCCCACATACGGCAGATATCTATAATAACATGCACAACCTCCATTAAAGTAGGGGCACAATTGTAATTCAACATACCATACCCCCATTCTCTATAAATAGGAGGTCATTCTATCAATAAAGGGTTATACATTTCTTCTAAATTACGGTTCATTTTATTCTGTTCATTTTTCTCTTTCTGTCTACACTCTATTCTTTGGATGTGATCCACAAAAAAATCAAGATCCAACAATGCATAAATAACTAAAAAATAAAATAAAATAATCCTTAGCTAAAACAATATAATAATCTAGCTTGAAGATTCAGAAAAGATCAATTTATTTTATAAGATATTTTCTTTTCAAATAATGCTATAACTATCAATAAAGGGTTATACACTTCTTCTAAATTACGGTTCATTTCATTCTGTTCTTTTTTCCCTTTCTGTCTACGCTCTATTCTTTGGATGTGATCCACAAAAAAATCAAGATCCAACAATGCATAAATAACTAAAGAATAAAATAAAATAATCCTTAGCTAAAACATTATAATAATCTAGCTTGAAGATTCAGAAAAGATCGATTTATTTTATAAGAGATTTTCTTCTCAAATAATGCTATAATACCAAACTTTAATCCAAAAAAACGATAAGCTGACTACTTGTGCGAAGCTTCGGTGGCATCAAACAAGGACTTCAAATAAAAGTTTAGCATCACTTTTTCTTTCCTTAGTGCAGAGTTAACACTTTTCCTGCTGCTGTCTTTGATAGTGGAAATCAGCAATCTCTTTAGAAGTTTTCTTCGTTCCATTTTTTACTATTTTTTGAAAGGATCACAGCTTATTGTTACAATAAATTATGAAGCCATAGTGAATAAAGCTCAGTTGGTGTTTGCAATACCTTTCTTTCAACTAGTAAATGTGGATTGGATTCAACCGAATTAAAATCTGCTGTACATAAATATTCTCTGCAACATACCCTTATCCCACGGGTTCAGGAGAAAATGAGAGAGCCACACGCCGTAAGAACCAAAAATATAACTCAATCAGCTCCGTCAAGCTGCGGTGCTCTGTGGCAAAAAAAAAAAAAAAAATCTCGTTGTTGTAATTATAATCTAACGATTCTCCACTAGTATTTCAAGCAATGAAAAGAATGGAACCAGTTTCAGGAAATTCAAGTGGGAATAGATCCTCATGAAGAGCTAAGATAACCTTCCTTCCCTGAGAGATGGAATTAAAATAGATAACTTAGAAGCTTGAAGTAAAGAAAAAAGATAATCTGTTGCAGTTTTTAAAATGTTTAGTTATGTATATCCGTGTATAGATCCGAAAGATTTGTAATGCTTATAAGGTTGTGAATCATAAATAAAGAAAGATTTGTGAGGGAACAAAATAAATTTGCATCAAAAATAGATATCCATAAAGTGGTTCAAGAAGTTACCACGTATGAATTTCACAAGATGATGTTCAGCACCACTTTCATCATTGCAGCGCCCATTCATACCAAAAATAGATGTCAAAATGCAACAAAGTTGCCTGGGATTTTGATCCCTCCGCTTGGCTTTAGCCAATCTAGCGTAAATGTTGACCCTAAAAACTGTATCAGACAGCCATGATTACAAAACATTGCTGAACTTAGTATAATTAATGATGACTGGTGCAAAGATTCTAGTTTAAGAAAATTATGAGGCATTAACCTGAATTAGAAGGACAGTAAAATTAAAGCATTCAACTTATGTCATCTTCACAAATCTTCAATGGATCTTCCTATCCAAAGAAGGGCGTGGATGACCAACTAGAAGCCTTGGTAATGAGCGCCTAAATTCTCATCCATGAACATTGTGAGAACAAACTTTATACAGCTTTTGCTAACTCAAATCCCTCTTCATTGAAGCACAAGTAAAGCCACCATTGACTAAGCCTTTAATAGCCAACGGCTTATGCTTCGAACTTCGATTAGTATTGCATATTAACTCATAAGCGACGTGCATGAGGAACTCTAGAAACAAGCCTTTACCTGAAGTAACTCTGGCCCCTGACTCTTTTCTCAGGCAATTATTAGCTTTGTCCAATATACACAATGTCACGTCATCAAAATCAAAGGAAACCTTCTTGAACTTCTCTCCCCAAATCAAGGCTCTCTCAGCCAACCCTTGCTTGCAGAAATGAGACAGAAGAAGGTTAACTGTAACAACATTAGGAACAATGGCCATCTTAATCAACTTTCCAGTTAAAATCATGGCGCGACCAAGACTATCATCGCATATGCCATTCATCACAGTGTTATGAGTGACTGTGCTAGGAGTAAAGCCCTCTGAGATGAGCGTATCTACCATCTTCATGGCCTCAGGGGTCCTATATCTGCTGCAAAGGCTATGAATCCTTATATTATAAGTGAAAATATCAGGTTTGCAATCTCTTAAAGCCATTAATTCAAAATACCTTTCTGCATGTCCGGTATCAAAAGTTCTGTAACAAGCAGCTATTAATGTATTAAAAGTAATGGTATCTGGGTATAATCCATTCCACCCCATCTGCCTGAACTCCTCATCAGCCCTCTCCAAGCATCTATGCAGGCAGAAACCATTAATCACTATATTTGTTGTGAAGATGTCAGGACTCAGTCCATTACACCTCATATCTGCTTCCAACTTCAGTGCTTCCTTAATATCACCGACTCTCATTAGACCAGATATAAGAGAATTATAGGTAAAGTTATTTGGGATCAATCCTCTCCTACGGATCTCATTGAAAACCTCCTGGGCTTTTTCCATGCGCTCTGCTCTGCAAAGGCCATTTATGTATGCTGAAAAGCCAACAACATCAAGTGAGATACCGTTACTTTCCATGTGATTCAAACAATCTATAGCCTCAGATACTTTACCAAACCTAAAGCACCCATCTATGTAGATGGTGAAAGCAGATATACCCACATTGAATCCCCTCCCCACAATCTCATACAAAAGTTCTTTAGCTTCACTTAACCTTCCTCGCCTACACAACCCTAATAGCAAAGATTGCCACGTAGAAGCAGAAGGTACCAGGCTAAATTCATCCACCATGACTCTATACATATTGATAGCTTCTTCCTCCATCCCCTCCTTGCTATAACCAGCAATAATTGAGTTGAAATTTGAAACTTTGGGCAGTAAACCATCACTGGGATTGCTGGGCATAAGCAATCTTGCATCTTCCATCTGCCCATCCCAGCAAAGGCTTGAGATTAACATTTGAGTACATACCTCATCATTTAATGCATCTCTAAACAAGTTCTGAACCAGACCTTTCCAATCTCTGCGGAACTTGCAGTGCCCTGAAACAAGTATGTTGAATGTGTAGAAATCTGGAGGAATTCCTTTCTTCACCATCTCTTCATAAGTAGAAATTGCAATATCAACCTGCCCAGCCTTTACATATCCATCTAAAAGGACATTATAAGTAATAATATTAGTCTCAAGCCCATCTTCCACTATACGATCAAACCACCTCCTTGCCTCCTCCATCCTCCCTTGCCTGCAGAGCACGTTGATTAAAATATTATAGCTTACAATGGTAGGTACATGTCCTAAATCAATCATTTCATCAAACAGCTTGAAGGCATTCCCCACCCGACCAAATAAACAGTTCGCTTTCATAATAATATTAAAACTGCAAGCATCCGGCTCAAGTTTGTACTTTGGAATCAACCAAAACAACCCTTCCCCAGCAGCAACCCTCCCTTTGAGGCAAGATCCAAGAATCATTGCGTTGAAGATCCTGACGCTCGGGCGAGGACCACGAAGAATCATATCCCGGAACAACTTCCAAGCATTTTTCGAATCCCCCATCCTGAAGAGAAGCCGGAGAAGAATAGCGTGGACTGAGAGGCTTGGGGTATTGCCCACACGACGGATCTCTGCCAAAGCTCGAAGCGCCTCTGATACCATGCCGGCGCCAAGAAACGCGCGGAGGACGAGGTGAAGGGCGTGATAGCGTGAGAAGTAAGAGCGATGTAGAGCAGCCCAGCTGAGGAGATCGACGGCACGGTGGGGATTGAGGCAGTGAAGGAGACCGGAGAGGATATCTTGTGCTAATGTTTTCAGCTTTTCGGTTGAGAAGATGAGGAAAGCTACGTCGCAAGAGAATAAGATGGCGTCGGGAAAGGTATTGGGGATGGCGATGAGTAAGAAAGAGAGAGCAGCGCGGGGGTTTCTAAGGGAGCAAAGGAGGTCGGCGAGGGGGGCTGAGTGCAATGCAGAGAGAAGGGAAGAGGCGGCGACGGAGCATTGAGGGTCAGTTTTTAGAGCTGTGTTGAGGTGACGGAGGAGCTCGAGGCGAAGTTTTAGGCGGAGATGATGCCGCGGGCGAGTGCGGCCAGGGAGGAATTGTTCGAGAAGGGGATCGGAAAATGGGAGTGTAGAAGAGTTGCCCGCAACGGTGGCCATGGAGAACGGAGCTAGGGTTCCGGCGATGAGGTACGATTCAATGGCGGCGCGGCGGTGGAAGATGGCGGAGAACATCGAACTCGCCTCTCCGCCCAGGGAAAAACCCCGGGGAACTGGTTTGAACGCATCAGGAAAATTTACAGACTTCACACACAATTCTTCTGTATTTACATATTTAGTAAAACATTAATTTTTGCATATGCGAGCCTTATCTCCTCAAGAGAAAATATTACATAAGTACTCCTAACGTACAGCTATTTCCGGATTCACTAATATGTGGATACGTGGCTTCAAGTAAACTCGCATGTTTTCTTATGATCCGGCCCTGTAACACAGGAGAATATTCCTCATGTGTTATTTCACATTATTCAGGTGTTATTGTGATGGTATTAATGTGTTATTGTATTATTATAACGCCAATAATATTCCCAGAACAAAATAACACATGAATATCATCACAATAACACCTGAATAATTCGGAATAACACGAAAAAAATATTTTTCTACGCTAAAACTACTTTTTTAATTTTTCTGTCAATTTCATGTGTCTGCGTATCAGTGGACTCCAAACACAACTCTATGTTAAGAATTCTGATGTAATGTTTCTCCGTCTACGTAAATGTTTATATACAAAAGAATTAGGTGATAAATATATAAATGGCCCTTTTATTTTTTTTGAAAATACACCACTTATAAGGCATTGAATCCAAGATCTCTATTCGGTAAACTCTCAACCAATTATGTTAAGATGAGGTCCAAACAAATATTAATTTTTTTTAATTTTATTTAGTTATTTATATTATATTTTAATAGGTAAACTATGTTAAAATATTACACTTGCCTGATGGAGGGTGTAATTTTTCACTCTAAAGTCGTGTAAGCATGAAATTATATTTTATTTTAATAGGTTAATATTAGTAATGTTTTGGATATAGTTTATAATTTATAATATATAATGACATATAAATAATAAAAGATTTTAGGTGTTAAATAAATAAATACGAATTGATATGTCCAAGAAAAAAAATAATTAATCTGTACGAATCTTGATGCATATTTTGACTAGTTTTAAAAATCAAATTTAAAAGTACTCACACTTCAATTTATAATCAACGCGTCTAAGTGAGACAAATCATATGAGATTGCAAATTGTCAAAGTGAGCCCGAAGAATACACTTAAAGCATAATTAGGAGATATCATTAAAAATGAGAATAAAATGTATCTAAAAAAGTATCACATTTTTAGGCATGTCATATGTCATGGATGTAGTGACTCGAAGGGTAAGTGTGCCGAGGAGATTGTGACCTAGAGGCTGAGTGTGTCGATGAGGCACTGATTCGGAGGGTGGGTGTGTCATGGAGGCCGTGAGTAAGTGTGTCATAGAGGTAATGACTCGGATGGTGGTTGTGCCATAGAGACAGTAACTTGTGGGTAACATATTATAGTCTGAGGTAATGTCATAAGAAGAGAAGGTGAAGTAATTCTCACTGAGAAGAATTAAACACCAGGTAGACTTGATATGCAAACCGTCCAGTCACATAACATGTAAATGTGTCAGATAAATGTATGAGGACACAAATCCAAATGCACACGTCATAAATATGCAAGATGTCATGTGAACATACACGCAAGAGAGCATAATTATAGGTGCATACATATAGAATGTGATGCACCATGACGTAGGGATGTCATGAAATGGGCACGAAAGTCCATGCGAGGGGCATAACCGCCCACCACGAGCATATGGGAGCACAAGTTCACGGATGCACAATTGGGTGTGTGTTGTGAATGTATTCAAGTAAATAGTATGAAACAAGCATGCAATTGTGCAACATTCGATATAAACGGTTGGTAGAACTAATCGAGCCTGTGGGGTCGACCGGATGAGCCGACGAAAGATATCTATCAATGTGATCGGGCAAATAAGCCAATTAGATGAGGAGACAAAAGATTTTTGGTCGCACCAATCAGGCCAGTGGGTTGATCAGGCGAGTCGACAAAACATATCAATTAATCTGATTGGACTAGTGTAATCATTCGGACGAACTGACAAAAGATTTTCGGTCGCGTCAATCGGGCCAATGGGGTCGATCAGGTGAGCCGACAGAACACATCGATCAATCTGATCCGGTCGATGCGCTCAATCGGACAAGTCAACGAAAGATATGCAAAAATTGATAATTTATGCATATTTTGAAAAATCTATGCATGAAATGCAAAATAATGCAAATACAAACAACATGCACATAAAAATGAGATCTGATCATCATCGGCTATAAAACAAACTCGCCCTAACGATCTCACGGTCACCCTATGGGTTGTCGACGGAGCGAAGCGAGGGTCATTGCAAAGTGATGGTAGCCCCCTCCATTTGTTCGGCGCAAAGAAATTTCATGGGGAAAGTCTTCAAGGAGTAGAGAACGTCAAAGCCATGGGACTTTCCATTCTCTACACCCAAACAATGGATTTCACTCCCCTCTATCGTGGGAACGAAGTCGCTGATGCAAATGCATGGTTATGACAACCTCGGGCATTGGGGCTTTGTGCTAGAAAGGAAAAAGGTAGGTTTTGCTCATGGGAATCGCAAGGGGATTGCAAAATCTCCTAACATATGGGGCTTACGTTAACAAATAAATGACTAGTCAATATGTGTATGGTCGTGTTGGCTAGTGTCAGCCTGCCAAGTAGTCTAGCACGAGCGATAAAACCATTGACGACGCCATAAAACTGGCCAATCAAAAGGCGTACGGTCAGACCGACCGATATGGTTTGACCAATTGGACCAACCGATAAGAGGTGATCGATTGAGTCGAACGATACCGAGTGGCTGGTCAGAATACCTCATGTGGGCGACCAAACCCATAAATAACTAGCAAAACCTATTCTTAGAGCTAGCAAAGAAAAAAATATAAGAGTTTTAGAGAATCCCACCAACCCAAAGGTTGTGGATGTGTTTCTTCTGGTGGGTTGAAGCTCTCCTAACAGTAGGAGAGAATATAAAACTCTGGTGAGGCTCCAGTGAAGCTCCGACGAGATTTACTCCACTCCTCCAATGAATGAAAAATATCTCTTAGTGTAGGAGAGATAGCAAAGCTCAGGTGAGGTTTCGAGCTCCAATGAAGCTCCGGCGATCCTTCCCCAAGCTAGGATGAAGCTTACTGATACATCTAAAATATATAGTATTTATGTGCACATTTTTATAACTATTTTTAAGATATTACGTTTTAATGGAAGGTTTTTGTTTGTTTTTATTTCAAGTACAATCAAATGGATAAAAAATGGTGAAATGAGTGAAAAATGATCAAAGTTGGAGCAAAAATGAAAAAAAGTGCAAAAGAATTGTGGCGCCAAGCGCCCAGAGCTGGCGCTTATGCGCCAGTAAAATCGAGAAGGTCGCGCCTAAGCACCAAGTACTTTGCGCTTAAGCGACAGAAGTAGTAACTTGATGATTCAATGAATTGGACAAATTTTTGAAGAGCTGTGTGAAGCAACCTTTGATGAAAATGTGGGGAATAGTTAATGGACACAAAAATACATTCAATTGGCTTTTGAAAGAAGGCAACTCTTGGAAGATTCATTGAATGCTAACACATTTTGAATAGGCACCAAGACATCTTTTAGAAAATTATAAAAGAAGACTTGAATTGGATTGAAAAACTCTCTCTCTCTCTCTCTCTTCTCTCCTTTTTGAGAGACTCTTAGACACTACTTCATGATTATTTCACCGCCCCATTTTCTTTTATTTTGAGTTGTAGTTTGTATTGTAAGTGAAAGAAGAGATTCAAATGAACTTCAAGAGTTTGATGGAGAGGATTTGAGAAAATTTTTTATGTTTGTGACTACATTTAGTTTTAATTTAAACTTCTTGTTTCTTTGCATGATTTATACTTTCAAATTTAAGTGTGGTTGTGTTTTCTCCATGAATTCTGAGTAGTTTCCTTTATCTTTTTCCTTAAAATGATAAATGATTAAGTATTTGATGGAAATGATTAAGAATGATAAATGATTAAGTATTTGATGGAAGTTGTGTGAAGTATTAATCTTTAATGTTGGAATAAATTGTAATGATTTAAACCTTGTACTTAATTTACTTCTTGATTTGATCAATTAAGATGTTAATATTTGTTGTGAGAACATGTAAGATTCGTTATGGTATTGTCTCAGCCAATTAATGACAAGAATCACATGAGATTATATGGATGAGAATGTAATTCATATGATTGAGTGCAAATAAAGAGGAAAATAAACTTTGAATGGTGTAGAATTGGAGGACTTTAGAGTGATAGGCTAAAACTAATAATTTGGTTTATAATTTTAGTTTCTGATACGAGATGTTAGCCCCCAGGTGGAGGGAGAAGCGAGAACTCTAGAATAAGAGCTAATATCTTCCCTACCTAACCCGTATTCAAGACTATTCAAACTTTAAAGTAGTCAATGTTCTTTATAGCATCTCTAGTAAGGGTAAAGAATATTATTACTCCTATTTGACACAACACAATTTGAATACTTCCATAACAGAATTCCTATACTTCTTATTGATTCATGATAAGGAAAAAAATATTTTATTTATATTGTCTTCATTTTACAAATATCTAGTTAAGTTTAGTTAGTTGTTTACTTTACTTTCAATTATCAAAAATTATAAAAAGAATCAAACTTTCATTCATATTATAGCATCTATAGTTTGAGTAAGAGTATTTTTGCTAAGTAAAACTTTGTTATCTAATATCTCTTATGTTATAAAGTGTATATTACTAATTTTCTCTGTGGGTTTGATATTTGGTGCTTAATCAAAAAGTCTTATATTACTTGATAACGATATGTATTATTAAGTAGTATCCCATAATTAAATATAATAATTGCATTTTATTTGCTTCAAATTGATCCCGAGAATATAGTTGTGTAAAAATTATATAGTTGACTCTACTATATAATGGTGTCAAAAACTTGATGCAATATTTTATGAATAAGAAATTTAAGCAATTAATGTTGTGATTCTACGCAAGTATACGTATTGTTATCAAGTAATGAAGGACTTTTTATTTAAGCCCCAAATATCGATTCCAATGGAAGGTTTAAATTTGAAATGATAAATTTACTAGGAAATTCCCAGAAAGTCAATACAAAATTACTGTCACTAATT